GAAGTTTTGGTGGAGAGAGAGTGCAAGAGTGACAAATCTATGAAACAGAGTTAGACCAAGAGGTTGAGAAAGAGGTAGAGCTACCTCTTCCTCTGATCCAGTAGGTAAGTAACCTTGAATGAAGATGAGGTTGAGGGGTAGAAACTAAAGACAGAAAGACTTCATTCCTGTTGAATGCTACTTTCTCTGAGAAGGTAAAGGTGGATTATCTGTAAGAGTGGAAGGACAGTGGACATACACCATTCCATAATTGCCCTCGTGTTCCAAAACCAGGGGTCACAAGTTTAAATCTCGCTGGGGCCTCCAAAATGTTGTACTGGAGCAAGCATAGAAAGTCAACACCAAGACAAATGTATGCCAAATTGCAGGGTCTTTATTGGTGGCCACAGAGGACTCACGTCTTTCCAAACTGTGGCCCTGAAAGGAGGGTGTCAAGACTTTTTATGTCTGTAAGCCACCTCGGGGGTAAGGGTGAGGGGCGGGGGTGGGGGTGAGGGGCTTCAGACATTCCAAGGGCCAGTGGACTTTGGACATTCCGTAAATCACCTTCTGGGTGGAGATGAGGGTGAGGGGCTTCGGACATTCCGATTGCTACTTAAGTGTTTCACAGAAGTCAAGATAAGCATTAGCTTACACATTGCCTGGGTAGGGTGGAAATTATAGACCTTAGTTACTTATTACAAGTCACAGAGGCCAAGATGGCGTGGGTTTGGACTGCTTGCCTGTCACATCAAGGTTACAGAGAGCAGTTTCAACAGAAAGCCAAGGTATGGTTGAGGTATGCAGTTTTATGGGGCTTTTACCATGTCACACATATACCCTTCTATAAGTGCCCTCTTGTTCCAAATATAATTTTAAGAGAAAAGTTTTCCCCGTAGCAACTTTTACATGTCTCAATTCATTTTCTATTTTAACTTTCATTATTATCCCTCCTAACTTAATCTAAAGTTCATAAATATAACATGAAGAATAAATTGATAAAAATTTGGAAGGCAACGTGGCAACCGGTATAAAAATGTTAAGCATGCATACGCTTTTTTTTTTCTATATAATATCTGCTCCTGAAAGCATACACTTTGATTCAGTATTCTACTTTTGGAATTTAGGAAAATTGGAAAATGATGTGCAAGTTTGGTAATTGAAGAATAGTTCATATTAGTAAAAAAAAAATGAATTAACCTAAATATACATCAATAAGGATTTTTCAAAGTAAACTGTAATATAAGCATACACACATTAAAATTCTATGCAAAAACAAAATTATGATGCAGATCTATGCTTATGTCTACAACGATGTGTTTATATTTGTGTGTGTGTATGTATGTATCCACATGTACAAATATGAATATGAATATACCAAAATGTTAATAGTACTTATCTATGGGGTGAAAGACCTGGAGTAGTTTTTCCTTTCCTTTTTTTATTTTTTGTATTGTTTGAATTTTTTATAATAAACATTTATTATAGCTGTTAGTTAAATGAGCCAAAGATGGTCTCTGTGTATAGGTCAGTTTGTTCATTTCTTCACTGTGGGCTGAGACCCATTAATTCAAAAGCCCACCAGCACCAACCTTAAACGTGACACATCCAATTGTTTCAAAAATACAGATTTTTAACTATTTAGAGCCTGCCTTCTTTGCATATTCTGTGAAACCTTACCTGGCAGCTGTTACCCATTGATAAGGTAGAACATTGTGGTTATAAAACCAAACTGCTATGGCCCTTTGGAGCTCTCTGACTCAGAGACCTCCGTCAGACTGCTGAGTGCCATCAATGATATAGAAAGCACTCTTTCTGATCTTGCTGTCACCCATGGGTTCCTTTGACCTCCTCCTCTCCTAGAGGATGGCTCCTCATCGGAAGCCTCTGGATGATCGTGTGCTGTGACAGACTTCCCCTCTTATGCAACTCAGTGGAAATGCTGCTCAATAAGGCATGTTGGGTGTTACTGCCTTTCACGGTCACATCTTTTACGTTGATCATCCCCCAAACCCCTTGAATACCATCTCCCAACCCCCCAGGCCTTTGTAATAGCACATAAAAATAACAAAGTGGTGTTTTTAAACCAGTTTTTTTTTTTTATAAGAATTTAAATGGGTCCCTATCCTGTGCCAAAGAAAATCTGGGCGGGATCAAGCTTCCAAGAAAAGGTACCTTGCAAAGCATGGACCCAGGGAGGGTTAAGCTTCCAGTCATAGGGTTTCAGTATTGACAACCAAGTTCAGACAGCAACTATCCTGCAAAATCTGAGCCGTAATCACAAAATCACATTGTCCTGGATTTTAATCTCAAATAGTCTTTGTTTTTAATATTACCCAAGTTCTATGGCTGGTATGTATGCAGGCAGCAGATAGTCTAAGTGTTATTTCAGATTAGTTTTCTACTTCTTTATCAATATAAGTTATCAGGGACCTGCCTCCCTCCTTCCTCTCCTATGATATTTGCTCCTTTTATCAAAGTTGGTTTTGTGGATTCACCTGAGTGTTCTCCCCCATTCCCAGTCAGATTTTAGACCAGCAATCTCATATGCTCCCCTCAAGGAATGCTCCCCTCCATTTGGAAGGGTTTCTCATCTCAGTATCTTCAACTGTGTTTCAGTATCCAAATACAGTTTGTTGATATCTTTCAAGTCTTTCCCCATTTACAGGGCAGAGAGCTTCTCCTGACTCTCCATCCATGCTCCTTAAACTAACCTTGCTGATTAGGTAAGGCATGGTTACTAAGTAAAAAACCATCATGGATTACTACTGGACTTTAAGCATACTACATTTATGTATCTATATGTATATTCCTATCTTCCAGACTGTGGTACAAATTTGCAAATTCAGCAGACTATTTTTAATTGAACATTCTAAGCTGCTATACAGCTACTATGTATTGAAACTTTATTTAACTTAAATAGATGAGATAGGTGGAATGAATGATTTTCATTTTATATTTGGGAACCTGACTCATCTTTGAGTAAGCAGGAGAGAAACTTGGCCACTGTTAGAGGGAAGGCAGTTACTTTCCTGAATGCCAATTCCATGTTCTTTGCATATTTTCCTTGATAATCTTTGTTTCCTTTCTCCTCAACTAGAAAGTGCTTAGCATTACTATTACTCATGTGAGACATTCTGTGATCTGACCTTCAATGGAAAATGAAAAATCATACTCCAAGGTCTATTTTTGTTCGCTTCCAAGCAAAGTATAGATAAAGAAGATCTAAAGAGGTGCTTGAAGGGAATTTTCAGTTAAGTGTCTACATTTCTCTCTCCTAGACTACTGCAAAAGTGATTGCTAGTTGAATGTGCCTTTGTAGCATGTCAGCATAAACCATTTTGATAGAAATATGTTTCCTTTTCACCTAAGATCCTCCTTTCCCCTAAACCTTTTGTTCCTGTCCCTGTCTCTAATTCTGTTTCTTCATTGGAAACGATTTACTCAGGATACAAAAGTCACTCTGCTTCTTTCCAAATGTCAGTCCTCAGAACTTTCTCACACACTCTCAGAACAATATCAGAAATAAAAAAGGGTCCCAAACCAGGCTCTAATTACAATCACTCTTGAGGGCACATCAGCCTCTCAATAACAATAAAGTTAAGTGTTCAAAGTACAACTCAAAGTACAGCATACCTCAGTGCCCCACATTTTTCAGGTACTAAATGGTCTCATCATTTTCTTCTTTTTTAAGAAAGAAATATGCTTCAAAGAACAAATTTACAGACTTCAGTTTTTACACTCGGTTCACTGTTATGTATAATTAACACATTCCTGTTCTCCTTTCTACTTAATTTAGAACAAGATTAAATTTCCATGCAGCTCACAAAAATATATTTAGATTATTAGAATGTAGTTAGAAAACTCGATCAGTAGGAATTTCATCCAGAAACATCTGGAATCCAGTTTATCAGAAACAAGTCTACGAAAACTTGTGAAGGAGACAGTTCAGCATGTTTCCCTCTGGTTTAGCATGTTGGCTCTTCTCTTCCTTGCCACCTCATCACCATCCTTGGCTCAGACAGCCTCCCGGAGATGAGAAGCTTCCTTTACAGGAAACTTATCTCCCACCACTAACACTGTAAAGTACCACTTCACCAACTAGGTGACTTGGTAAAGCATGTATGGTATTATACAGCTGCTCTTGCAGTGCCTTCCTGAACATAATGCCTTTCCCTTGCCTTATAGTCCCATTAATAATTTTCATGGGAGGAATTTTTGTTTAGGAGACAAGAATATCTTTTCCCCAGCTGATTATTAAATATTCCTCGGTATAAAAAAAGCTATGTGTTAATAACAATAATCATAATATTAATGAACAATAACAGTAACAGACATTCATAGGTGGCTTATTTTGTTCCAAAACAGTGTCCTAAGTGCTTTCCACACATTTTAACTTATATCATCATCATAAAACATCCTGTTGGTTGAGACCATCATTATCATCATTCTACAGATAACCCTTTGAAGAGGAGCAGAGATTGCCTTACCACTGACTAAGGAGTATCTTTCTCCTGTTTAGGATTCTGTAATGATGTGAAAAGCCTTTTTAAAAAGACAGTAAATAGGACATATTTGGAATATGCATTTTAGTACTGCTGGTGTCAATATGTGCCACAGTGAAACCTCTGCCAAGAAAGAATAAAAGGAGTCAGCTCAGAGTGGGTGGAAACCAGAACTAGACAGAGGCTCAGACAGACATTGTTTGGGGGGATGGGGAGATCTCATAGTAAAGGGAGACGACTCAGAAGGAATTTCATTGCCCAAAAGACGTATGAAGCCGTCGCCAAGAACAGAGACTCCCTAGGACAGTGAGAGCCAGCTTCCTAATTTCCTTGCTCTGTTACTGAAAAGTAATGAGTACAGGAAAGAGTTAAATCAATAAAGAAGGTATCAGCAAGTGAGAAATGCCCCCCAAAGACCAGATGAGGTGACAGAAGATTTGGGGACGGCCCCTCGAAATCGGACGAGTGTGGTGGTGTACACCTGTAATCCCGGCTACTCGAGACCCCGAGGCAGGAGAATCGCTTGAACCCGGGAGACAGAGATGACAACGGCAACACGACAAGAAGTCCTTGGCCTCTACCGCAGCATTTTCAGGCTTGCAAGGAAATGGCAGGCGACATCAGGGCAGATGGAAGACACCATCAGAGAAAAACAGTACATACTAAATGAAGCCAGAACGCTGTTCCGGAAAAGCAAAAATCTCATGGACACAGACCTAATTGAACAGTGTATAGATGAAAGCACAGCCAGGATTGAAGTCGGACTGCATTACAAGATTCCTTATCCAAGGCCAATTCATCTGCCTCCAATGGGCCTCATCCCACTCCGAGGCCGGGGACTTCAAAGCCAGAAGAAACTGAGGAAACTCTCCAAACCAGTATATCTCAGATCTCATGATGAAGTTTCCTAATCTAGAAGAAAGTTTATTTCTGTGAATGATGAGCCAACTAGTTCTTGGATGTAAACCAGATGGCAAAATACTTCTTTTTTTTTTTTTTTTTTAAATAAAAAGACAGGGTTTCAACATGTTGGTCAGGCTGGTCTTGAACTCCTGACCTCAGGTGATCCACCCGTCTTGGCCTCCAAAGTGCTTGGATTACAGGCGTGAGCCACCGTGCGCGGCCCAAAATACTTCTTGGTTAGGGGCAAAAATTCAAATGTCTTCTTAAAACTTCCACAATTGATTCTCACCTCATCATGTGCACTTAGGATATCCCTAGAATTTCTCACAGCCCTTCGAGGCTGTGGCCAAACGCTTCAGGGAGCAATACAGGACGTTCGCCACAGCCCTGGACACCACCAGGCATGAGCTCCCTGTGAGATCCATCCACCTGGAGGGAGACGGGCAGCAGCTCTTAGATGCCCAGCAGCGTGAATTGACAACCACTCAGCGTCTCCTGGGAGAACTTGATGTTGGCAAGTCAGAAGAAAATGTGCAGATGCTGGACTTACTGAGTGAACTCAAGGACGTGACAGTGAAAAAGGACCTCGAGTGCCGAAGGAGTTTCGCCCAGGTGCTGGAACTCTCCGCAGAGGCGAGCAAAGGGGCAGCCTTGGCAAACCAGGAAGTCTGGGAAGAGGGTCAGGGCCTGGCGCCTGCTAGCCAGTGGTATTTCAATCAAGACACCACCTGCGGAGAATCTTGGGGAGCACCCAAGAACACGCCCCTGTCTGAGGACGACACCCCTGGTGCCTCCTCAGCCCCTACTCAGGCCACGTTCATCAGCCCAAGGGAAGAGGTATCTTCAAGCAGCCAGGGAGAAGCCACATCCTCTGCCGCTCACTCAGGGAGGGACTTGGGGTGACTCGTGACATTCAGGACACTTGAGCACTTTATACACTACCCTAGCACTGGAGCCGTTTTTTAACGTGATAATCTTGTTTGACACTTAAAAAATAAACCCATTTTGCAGTTGAAAAAAAAAAAACGTTTTTTTTTGGTTTTTGTTTGTTTGTTTACCATGCAACAAAACCTTTATTAACATTTTGAACAGGTTCAGCTATTAGTGAAACTTGTAACTTCTAAACTTAAGTTGGGGCAAATGGCTATAGTGCAGAGCATTGCCATCACGGGGCACTGCTTCCTGAGTGGATGACATTATCCCTAGAGGTTATGGACTTCACATCCTCACTACAGTCACCTTTGGAAACAAGACTAAGGCCTGTGGGAAGAAGGCAGAAGGGTGCAAGAGCTTTTCATGGGAATGCGGTTCACCACACATGTGAGCTAATGCAAAGAAATTTTCCAGTCACGGGAAGTTACTGTGGGCTACTATAAAACTATGTACTACTCTCAAAAAAATAATAATAATAATAATAATAATTTCATTAGCCCAGACAGTTTAGAATGCCTCCTATTATGGGAACATTCTCTGATATCCACTAGAGAAAAAGCCTAGGGGTCAAAGTGGTACATAGCATAGATTTTTCATTGCTGCTTCAACATTCATTTACCCTTTCTTTATTAGTAAGAGAGCTCCAATTTTATTTAGGGTAGCAATGTGCCTAGCTAAAATAATGCATTTCCCAGCTTATCTTGAGATTAAAGTGCCCACTTCACTGAGCTATGAACAGTGAGAAGTAAACAAAAGCTATTAGGAGAAGATAGACAGCTGTCATGTGTCACTTTGCCCCTTCCTTTTCCCACACCATACCTCCCAGAATGCAGATATGATGCATGAGGCTCTAAAAGCCATGTTGGACCATTGCGATGATTCTGCAGACAGAAACCAAATAATAAGAATGGAATAGCAGAAATAAGAGATGGAGGATGCGTCCCTGATGACCATGGGGTCACCATATCTGCCCGAGTGCACATCTCCAAACTTATTTTACATGGAATAAAACATATCTTCATAAGTTTAAGCCAATGTTATCTCTGATATTTTGCTATATGCAGCTGAACATGATTCTTTTTGGATCCACAAAGTTAGCTGAAGGTTTTACGGGCAGCAGAACCTTTTAACACTTTACAAGGGAAGAAAGCTCAAAAGACTTCTCTACCAATAGATATCAAAGGTCCTGTGGAGAGAGGCCAAATAAAGAGGTACAAGCCAGGAATTTGCCAAGCCCTTGAACAAGACAATCAACCTCCTTGCTTCTCAGTCCTCTCATTCGCAAAGTAAGAAAGCTAAATGTGATTATTGAGGTTTCATTCCAGATAGAAAATTCTGCAATTTTGCAATTATGAGAGAACAAAGACACACCAGTGTTGCTGAAACCCTGCTGAAAGAGTATTAGACTAAATGTGCATTTTTCTGCTGGTAGGGAGGGGTAACTTAATCAGATTTGACTGAAACCCAGTCCAAGGCTGGTTGGCCACTTGGTACGGGGTTGCTACTATTTTCGGAGCAGCTTGTGATTGCCATAATCAGGGACTATTTGATTGGAACAAATAGAAGTTCATTTCAACAGACTTAAGCATTCCTTATCCTAGTGACACAGGATATCTTACTGAAGCAGGGAACATCAGGGCAGGAAGTCCGAACAGTGAAACTGAGAACTGGAAAGCCAAAAAGTCTCTCCCCCCAAGTCTGTGGTCAAAGTGGTACATCACCTTGGGCTCCTCCTCCTATTTCCCACCAGTGCCCAGCTTCTCTGCTGCAGGTCTTAAATGGCAGAAATATGAAAATGGCTTTCCCAGCTCTACATAATCTCTCTTTCAAGCTAGTACATAGGTTTTGCTGATTTAGACTCCATGTCATTCAAATTTATAATGGAATCTGATTGGTTCATCTTTAATTAGCAATGGCCCTGGGAGAGTACAAAGTCAGAGTACAGACAGGGTATGCAGGGCTTGGGGGCTGGCTCTCTAGGGAGGAGTATCACTGGGAAGGGAGAATTTGTATCTTCACAGTAACAGCAAGGAAGTTTTTTCAGCATTCCTCCTTAGGAGGGGATGCATGTCTTTCAAATCTAAGAGCTACATCCACAGGACTCTGCTAAGGTAGGGCAGGAGGAGTGTCCATGGATTATATCACGATATATCTAATTGTGCCTCCTAACTTGCCTGGAATGATACAATGTATCACTGTTTTGAGTTTCTAACACTTGCTACAGAAGTGTTATATGGCATGTGTATGGGCACTTGGAATGATTACAGTAAATTGAAATAAAATCTGTTACAAAATTTTTGTTGAGAATCTAATAGCCTAGCATCCCTTCAGATAATTAAAGTGCTGGAAACAGGAGAGAAAACTGCTAATTTAATCTTCCTTTTATGTATTTCTCTAGCTCCTGTTATAACCTTCCCTACTTTAAGCAGAACTTGTCTTTGTAATTCAGAACTTTTTAATTACCACCTTGACTAGTTCTGAACTCTAGTATTTGTAGATCATCTTGATAATATACTGAATGTTTCTATATTTTAATTGGATAGACTTCATTGCTTTATACTATATTTATAATTGTTATGGTATGAAAGCCATTTCACTAATAGATGTTTTTGCCTTTTTAAAACTGTAATAGTATGTGTAAACTTTTAGTATTTTTATTTATTTTAGGATTTACCTAAAAATAATAGTTTTCATGACATCTTCTATCCCACATTAATAATTATTTTACCCTCAAGAATATAAGAGATTTGGTTTGTTGTCAAAATTTTGTTTTCTCAAAATTCAGTTTCTCTTAGTCTTTAGTCTCTCAGGCATAAAATGATGAAATATAATACAGAAAGGGCTCACTAAAAAATAAAATCCAGATTTAAACTTACTAGCCATGGTAGCTTAGATGGGTCCCTTAATACTCTGAACTTCAATTTTCATTATGTAAAGTGGTCAAAATAGTATCTGAATCTACTCCACATAATTTTTAAGTTTGTTAAATGAAATAGGGTTATAAAAATAATTTATAAAATGTAAGAATGTGCAACATTATTAGATACTATCAACAAAAAGCTTACCTATTCTATGTCTCATAAGATGATAAATTGCTGTTGTCAGAATAAAAGTAGATGAAGCTTAAATAAATCAGGTCACCTGGGCTTACAATGGTGAACAACACAAGAGTATAGACACCTCTCTGTGTTAAATATGAGTGAAACATTATGATTAGGAGTAAATTGGTCTACTATTTCATCAAGACAGCACACCCATATAATATATCAGAAGGGCTTTTAGGGGAGACCCTCTATATTTAAAGTGATGTTTGCTAATCACTCATCAATTATTTTTTTATTATTTAAACTACCAGATGACTGATTCGACAAGAATCTTATAAATTAGTTTAAATGCATTCCTGATGTGTACTCAGTATCTCCAGCAGACTTCAAGAAGGCATTGCAGTGTGTTACATCCCTATTAGACATATCAAAATGAGACTTAGCTGAAGCTAATATCATCAAATCACTCAAGAGCTTAATTTTAGTTCAGTAATCAACTTCCATAAAATTGTCACTGGAGATGCTGAAGGGACAGCCCAAAAGAGTATAAAATTGGAGGTTTTTTCTCCTCATCTTTCTTAAAATGCACTAAAGCAAATCTAGTTAGACACATGAAAAATACCATGAGTATTACATACCTTATCTAATGAATTTCATATTCTGAAATCAGAAAGTATTCAGAGATGGTCAAGATCAGAAATTATGTAATATTTCACTTACTTTTCTTGAAATCTTTCAGTTTGTAGCTTGCTGGTGTTTAGCCCTGCCTCCTTATAATTTTTTTGTTTCAACTCTCATACTATTAAAAAGTGTCACTTTGGTAGTCCATTTAGTGCCATATTCTTTTCACATTTGTGTGTTTTTTTATTTCTGGAAAATTTTGCTGTTTAAAATGACCCCAAAGTATAGTGTTGAAGTGTTAACTAGTGTTCTGAAACACAGGAAAGCTGTCATGGCCTTTTGAAAAAAGTATGTGTTAGATAAGTTTTGTTCAGGCATGGGCTACAGAGCTGTTATCCGTAAGTTCAACGTTAACAAATCAACAACATATGTTAAAGTGTCTTTATATCATAACACACAGAAAACAAGTGTACATGGCTTATTTTTTTGGAGGATTTTATGCCTTTAAATAATGGGGAGAAGTTGGTCAACGTGTACAAAATTTCAGTTATACAAAATGAATTAAGCTCTAGAGATCTAATGTACAGCATGATGGCCATAATTAACAATACTATAATGTATACTTGAAACTTGCATAAAGGTAGATCTTAAGGGTTCTCACCTAAACAATAAAAGAAGGAAAACGGTAAGAAGGTTATGTATTGATTGACTGATGAAAATTTTGTGACCAAAGGGCTTACAGGAACCTAGCTTCATACTTACTCTAAGAGCAATTGTCCAGTATTTACTAAATCACTATTCAAAGAAACATTAGAGAACATAACTATCGCAAATAACAATCAGTATATACACATATTATATACACATATGTATGTATATAGTTTTAAATGTTACTATTCAGTTAAAAAAAAAAAGGCAATAATGAGCCAGGCTTATGGCTCACACCTGTAATCTCAGCACTTTGGGAGGCTGAGGCAGGTGAATCACCCGAAGTGAGGAGTTCAAAACCAGCCTGGCCAACATGGTGAAACCAAAATCAGCTGGGTTGGTGCCACGTGTCTGTAATCCCAGCTACTCAGCAGGCTGAGGCAAGAGAATCACTTGAACCTGGGAGGCGGAGGTTGCAGTGAGCTGAGATTGTGCCACTGCACTCCAGCCTGGGCGACAGAGTGGGACCCTGTCTCAAAAAAAAAAAAAGTCAATAATGTTATGGTCATCCCATCCCAACAAATTTCTGTCTTAAATATCACATCCCTGAAAAATTCAAAGTTTAAGAACTCACCTTCATTCATTCAAAAATTATATGTTGTTTATCTCTTATTCTCTAATACATTTTGCTGAGAGAATAATAGCGAAGAAGACAGTGACAGTACCTATCCTTTTGGAACACATATTTTATGGGGAGACACAATACCCATCCCC